ATAAGTGGGTGTGATTTGTGGTCGGACCATCACCCAGACACCAAAATAACGATCCACTGCCGGTGGAAAACGATGACCTCCAAGACCACCTTGGTGGAAGAGCACCTAAAGAAACACGACTACACAGCCCACTTGAGGAAAGGCACACAACAAGCCGACCAAAGCCCGTGGCCTGGGTTTGAAGCAGAGCTGATCCCTGCCAAGTTGTACTCGGAGACGATCTTCCGGGCGGGAACCCTCTGCACCTGCAGCTGGTGGGGGGGGTGGCCTGGACACACAGGTGTAAAAGTCATTAAACGCACATCTAATTGAGGCATTTTATTCAACTTTATAGCACCTAGCCCATACCCCATTTTTAAAAACTTTGTGCTCCCCGTAGCCAACAGGGCAAGTCCGAACTCTGCCTACGTGCTCCCCACACCCTGGCCCTCCTCAGCCAAGTTCCTGCCCTTCTTACCTGAGAAAGAAAAATAGAAATCTCTCCCTTTCTTTCGCCTTCTCTCCCTCATCTCGTCCTTTTCCTTCTCTCTCCCTCTCCATACACGCACGCACACGCACACCACCACCACGCCAATCTCTCGTCGCCGTCTGGCTTTAAGCTTCGTGAGCCCACTCCCAGAAGTAACATTGTACGACCATTTGAAGATAAAAACAGACCTCGGAGAACGTGCAGAGTCAAAGAGCCCCTAGAGGCCCTGAGTAAGGCCACGCCTGGTACCCGCAATAGGTGCTGAGCAACAATTCGGTTGTAAGCCGGCAGAAGACGGTGCACCCACACCTGTCCGTTCAGCTTCGAGCTTACAGTCCCTTGCCGGAGGCGAATTCACCTGTGGACAAATGTTCACGTGCCAAAAGGCGCATGCGCCCTGCAATGGTCCCTGTTTCCACCGCTGACAGATGCCTAAACCGCTCCAGGCTCGTGTGTTACCTGTATCTGGTTGCGCAGGCCCCTGCCGTCTCCCGTCCTGTGCAAAGAGATGTTCTGGCAGCACGACTGCCGTCTTTCGAGGTGAAACGTCCTTCCAGCCCCGCAAAATCGCCAAGGCTTGGTGAGCAGGCCACCTACTCTACGGAGACTTCACCTATTGCCCCTTTCTACACCCCTATATCTCATCAATGCAATAAAACAGCAGACTAATCAATGAAAATAGCCTTACTCTAAATATTAAGAAACACTAGTCCAAGAACTGTGCAAATGCTACAATAATTGCCCATTTAAATCCCTACAAACCCTGTAGGTAGAACACTTACTGTCTCCACTTCTTTTTTGTTTTTGTTGTTGTTTGTTTTTTGAACAGATCGTTGTTTCCCCCAGCCTACGAGTGATCCGTGTGGTCCACCTACCCCACACAACCTCAAACTCCCTGCCTCCAAAGTATCTTCCTCTGCCATCAGCCCCCGACGTAGCCGGACACAAGCCATGTGCACCATGCCCAGCTAATTTTTTTCTATATATATTAGTGCAATTAATTTCTTATATTTATATAGAACGGGTCCTCCCTTCCAGGCTGTTTCGAACGCTGGTTTCGAACTCCTGACCTCGAGCGATCCTCCTGCCTCGGCCTCCCAAAGAGCTAGGATTACAGGTGTGAGCCACCATGCCTGGCCACTGTCTCCACTTTCTAAACTGAGGCTCGGAGCAGTTAAACGGCCGGCCCAAGGTCATGCTTCTTGTGATCAGTGGAGATTCAGCCAGGTCTGTGTGCTCCTGGGCCACGGAGCCCCTGTACTTCCTTGAGTCTGGAACAATCTCACATGTAGCAGGTTATCGAATCGTATCAACTAACGTTTGCAAGACATTTTACTACTTACAAGGCACACTCTTCATTCTACAGATGAGAAAACTGAGCTTTGCTATTTTTTCCTGTAACGAATGATTGTGGAACCCCCACGGACGCCCGGGATGGGGCAGCATCAGCTGACAGCTAGTGGAGAGCCGGGCGCCAGCCGCAAACCCACACGCATCGCTGGCGATGGTGCCGGGAAGGAGAGCAGGCAGGAGAGAGCATGCGCACCAGCAGGCCTGGGGGCTGCGGCCGGGGAAGGGCCCTGGGGGAGCAGCGTTTGAGAGAGGAGCGTCTGCAGGAAGGGCGTGCCGGGGGAGAGCACGGCAAGTGCCAAGGCCGAGGGAGGGGGCAGCGGGGCGTGCCTGCGGGAGGACAGACGTGCAGCGCCCCAGTGGTGTGGGCGAGCTCAGGAGCCAGCCAGGAGCGGGATCCAGGCTCCAGGGCTGCGGTAAGAGCTGGGGCTTTGTCCTAAGTCAGTGGGGAGGTCACAGAGGGTTTTAAGCTGGAAGGTGACATGATTATAGTCATGCTTCAAAGAGGAGCCCAGGGCCAGGCGCGGTGGCTCACACCTGAAATTCTAGCACTCTGGGAGGCCGAAAAGGGAGGATTGCTCAAGGTCAGGAGTTCGAAACCAGCCTGAGCAAGAGCGAGACCCATCTCTACTAAAAATAGAAAGAAATTAATTGGTCAACTAAAAATATATAGAAAAAATGAGCCAGGCACGGTGGCGCATGCCTGTAGTCCCAGCTACTCGGGAGGCTGAGGCAGGAGGATCGCTTGAGCCCAGGAGTTGGAGGTTGCTGTGAGGTAGGCTGACGCCACAGCACTCTAGCCTGAGCAAAGAGTGAGACTCTATCTCAAAAAAATTACTTAATTAAAAATATTTTTAAAAAATTAAAAAAAAAAACGAAAAACAAAGAGGAGCCCAGAAGAGCACAATTGGAGCCCGGGAGGCAGAGCAGAGGTCCAGGCAAGAGACGATGGCAGTTGGGACAAAGACGGAAGCAGGGCCAGGAAGAGGTGAAGGGAGTTGGGGTCCGGGTGGAGAGGGAGCTGCAGGGCACGCTGGGTCAGATTCCAGGGGTGAGAGGGAGATGGCCCCCTGGGTTCTGTGCTTCCGGCTGGATGGTGGCACCGTTTAAGATGACGGGAAGGCAGGCACAGGGCGGCACCGGGAGCCAGCAAGGGAGGAGGGAAACCCACCCTGCTCTGTGGCCCCACCCCCAGCCTGGCCTGCGGCCCTGCAGTCAGTCCTCGGGTTCTCCCCCTCGCCCCCGCCTGGCCTTCCCGGGCTGCACCAGCTGGGCCTCCCTGGGAGCACTCGCTCCCTCTGGTTTCGTCTTCTTCACAGCACGGACCAGCGCCTGCGTCTATCTTGTCCTGCAGTGCCACCCGGCCGTGGGCTGTGCCAGTCTGTGGCCTGTTAGGAACCGGCCGACAGCAGGAGGTGAGCGGCGGGTGAGCCGGCGAAGCTTGGTCTGTGTTCACAGCCGCTCCGGCGCTCGCATCACCGCCTGGGCCCCGCCTCCCGCCGGGTCAGCAGCAGCTCTAGATTCTCACGGGAGCCCGAACCCTCCTGTAAACTGCGCGCGGCAGGGATCTGGGCTGCGGCTCCTTTTGAGACCCTAAAGCCCGATGATCTGGGGTGGAGCTGAGGCGGTGATGCCAGCGCTGGGGACGGCTGCAAATCCCGATCGTCATTAGAGAGAGGTTCGACTGCACGGTAAACGTAATGCGCTTGAATTGTCCTGAAACCATCTCCTACCCCGGTCCACTGTCTTCCGCGAAACCAGTCCCTACTGCCAAAAAGGTTGGGGACTGCTGATCCAGTTCATCCAAGTATTTATTTTCTCTCCCCAGTTGGAATGTTGCCCTCCTGAAGTCCGGTTCTGAGAGCTTGGTCTTCACTGTGCCTAAAATACGACCTGGCAGGTGGTAGGTGCCCAACAGGATTAACCGATTCCCTGGCTTGCCCGTCTACTCTGAGCAAACAGAGGGAACTGTGTCCGGCTTCCGGTGTGAGGCAAAACTGGGTCCAGTGGGAGGTTAAAGAACCTGGCTTTGGGCAGGGCGCGGTGGCTCACGCCTGTAATCTTAGCACTCTGGGAGGCCCAGGCGGGCGGATTGCTCGAGGTCAAGAGTTCAAAACCAGCCTGAGCAACAGCGAGACCCCGTCTCTACTATAAATAGAAAGAAATTAATTGGCCAAGTAATATATATAGAAAAAATTAGCCGGGCATGGTGGCACATGCTTGTAGTCCCAGCTACTCAGGAGGCTGAGGCAGGAGGATTGCGTGAGCCCAGGAGTTTGAGGTTGCTGTGAGCTAGGCTAACGCCACGGCACTCACTCTAGCCTGGACAACAAAGCGAGACCCTGTCTCAAAAAAAAGAAAAAAAAAAAAGAACCTGGCTTTGGGGTCAGGCATGAGTTCCAAACCAGACCCTAGCTGTGCAACTTTAGACAAGTCTCCTAGCCTCTCTGGGTCTGAGTGTATCATGAAGTCCCTCTCGTGAGGCTGTGTAGGGGCAAATGAAATAATTCTTATAAACACCCCAGCCCTGCCGGCACGCAGTTAGACCTTATGCAGTTAGAGCCAAAGAAATAAATAGAAACACCCAGAGCCACACTTTCTAAAAGTTTAAAACTTACGTCTTGCTCTTTATCCTCTATAATGGTCACATAGAGAATTTAGAAATTATCAGTCACATTGGCACCAGTCTCCCTTTCTGGCCCACCGGCACCGTCAAAAGGGGGCAGTGGCACGCAGAGAGCTGGGAGAGGCTCAGGCTGAGCGACAGCCGCACACCAGCTCGCAGGTGCCGTGCGCGGCTCCCTCCTGCCCTCCCTAGGCGGCGGTGACTCAGCCAGGCAGGAGGAACGGCTGCAAACGCTTCTCCCAGAAAGGACGATCGCCTTTGCTCTAAGGACTGACTCACTTGCCCGCTGCGTTTGTCTCTGTGATGCTGAGCGGCAGTTTTGCAAAGACTCAGACAGGAGAGCAAGCGGCAGCCCCCCTTGGCTCCCTCAGTGGGCTGTCTGGCAGGAGTGCCCCCTGTCTCCACCCTGCCCCCTACCCACACCCTTCGTAGGGGGCGGTGCCGCTCCCCCCTTCGAGAGGTACAATCTCTTTGCCACCCGCTCCTCAGAGCTGGGCAGGTCATGCGTCTTGTTTTGGTGAGTAGAATGTGGATGGAGTGATCGTGTGACGTGTGTTCCGAGCCAGCTGGAACCCTGGTGCCTCCATGGGAACAAGCCAGGCCAGCCATGAGATGGACGTCATTATTCACTCCGAGGCTCAGACAGGTCATGGGACCTGTCCAAAGTCACACGGCTAGGGAATGAGAGCGCCCACGGAGCAGGGCTGAGCCAGCCCGTTTGTCCCCGTCTAGGCTCCAGGGACGTGGAAGAGACCAGGCAAGATCGGCACAGCTGCCTGCTCAACCTGCAGCTGACCACACACCCATGAGGGTCTTCGTGAGATTGCTTCATAAAACCTGTGAGTCTGACGTGTTTCTGTGTTCTCGCCATGGTGAATATTGGCCTTTCGTTCCCATGTTTGAGACTCCTTAGAGTGTTTCCCGGAGGGCCAGTCTAGCGGAGATGAATTTTTCTCAGCATTTGCTTGTCTGGGGAAGACTTTATTTCTCCTTCATTTGTGAGGCTTAGTCTGGCAGGATATAAAATTCTCGGCAGACAGTTTTTTTTTTTCTTCCAGCACTTTGAAAATGTCATCCCATTCTCATCTGGCCTGTGAGGTCTTTGCTGAGTAGTCTGTTGTTAGTCTTATGGGGTTTCCTCTATAGGGGACTAGATGCTTTTCTCTTGCTGAATTTTTTTGGGGGGGTCACAGAGTCTTGCTTTGTTGCCCAGGCTAGAGTGAGTGCTGTAGCATCAGTCTAGCTCACAGCAACCTCAATCTCCTGGGCTCAAGCAATCCTCCTGCCTCAGCTTCCCAAGTAGCTGGGACTACAAGCATGCGCCACTATGCCCGGATAATTTTTTCTCTATATATTAGTTGGCCAATTAATTTCTTTCTATAGTAGAGATGGGGCCTCGCTTTTGCTCAGGCTGGTTTTGAACTCCTGACCTCGAGCAATCCGCCTGCCTTGGCCTCCCAGAGTGCTAGGATTACAGGCGTGAGCCACCGCACCCAGCCTCTCTTGCTGATTTTAAAATTCTCCCTTTCACTTTAATCATTCTGATTATACTATGCTGTGGTGAAGTCCTTTTTGCTATGTATTTGCCTGGGGGTCCCTGGGCCTCTTGTGTCTGAATGTCTAACTCTCTTGATAGTCCTGGGAATTTTTCATTGATTATTTCCTTAAATAGGTTTTCTAAAGCCTTTGATCTCTCTTCCCCCTCAGGAATACTGATAAACCCTAAGTTTGGTCACTTTATGTAGTCCTAGACATCTCCAAGGCTTTGCTCATTCTTTTATTTCTTTTTTCCTTATCTTTTGTCTGACTGGATTGTTTTGAAAGATCTGTTTTCCAGTTCTGAGATTCTTCTTTCTGCTTGGTCTAGTCTGTTCTTGGAGCTTTCTAATGTGTTTTGTATTTCCTTCAATGAATTTTTCAGCTCTAGAATTTCTATCTGGGTTTTTTTTTTTTTTTTTTAATGATATATATCTCCTTGGTAAATTTCTCATTCATACCCTGAATGGGTTTTCTGATTTCTTAGTATTGATTTTCAGATTTCTCTTCGATCTCATTGAGCTTTCTTTAGAATTAATATTTGGAATTATTTATCTGGCATTACGAGGAATTCTTTTTGATTAGGGTCCATTGCTGGACACTGGTGAGGTCCTTTGGTAGTGTCGTATTTCCTTGCTTTTTCATGTTTCCTGTGTCCTTCTCTCAATACCTGTGCATCTCATGTAGCAGTTATTTGCTCCGATATTTGAAACTGCTTTCAAAGTGGAGAAATTTTTCCCTGAAGGTGTATATGTGTTGTTGGCTGAGTGGGACTCTTTGGCTTTGATTTTGGTGCCTGCAGTATTGTAATCTTTGTATGATTTCTTAGGCAGTGCCCAGGGTCAGTGGTGTCTGTGATTACCTTGGTGGCTTACGGAACAGCTATTAGTCGAGGCTGTGGTGAAGATTTCCTGGGGCCTTGAGCAGCAGCCGAGCCAGTCTCTGGGCTCCAGTGGTGGAAGCAGAGGGCTGACTTGAGCAGCGTATGCTGGCAGTGGTGTGTGTCCTGGGGGGGCCCACGCTTGGGCCTGCAGGTGGCTTGCTAGGAACCCAGTAGTTGGAGCATAGGGCCGAGTATGTGGGCAGGTTCTCAGGCCCCTGAGCAGCTGCTGTGATGTGGGAGGTGGCAGCAGCAGTGGCAGCGTCACCCACTAGGACCCAAGTGGCCTGTGCTGGTGTGACGGGCAGCTTCAAGGGACTGGGCAGGCTGGTCCCCAGGCTCACGACTGCCTATAACGGGGTGGTGGGGACCGTCCTCAGTGTGCTTAGGAGAGCGGGGTGTCCCCTGCCCCGTCCCAGCCAGGTGGCAGCTGCAGTTCCGTCACCTTGCACTCAGCCTTAGGGCGGGCATGGTCCAGTGTGACACTCTCCGACTGGCGCTGGCTGTGGACTTGCAGTCAAAGGGCACAGGGCCCTCTCGGGCCAGTGGCATGAGCGAGAGAGCGTGGCAGTGCTGTCCAGGCGTGTCTCCGTCCCACAGGAGCCCACGGCAGGGCGGTGGCAATTACCCTAGGTGCGTATAGGTGAGCTGGGGCTTCCCTGGGTGGGTTGCTAACCAGCTTCAAACTCCCAAAATGTCCCTGTTGGGCCTGTGACCAGAGAGAGCGGGGCCCTTCTCAGGCAGATGCCCGGGCAGGAACCTGGGGGGTGATGTTTGCTGGAGACCTGGTCCGACAGCAGCCAGCTGCAGGGTGGGGGCCACCACCCCAGGTGCCTCTGGAACCTGGTTCCCTGCCCCTCCCCGGCAGGCGGGGCTGCAGCCTCACTAAGCCCAACACAGCCCAGCGCCAAACTGTCAAAACGGCACCTCGGACCTGAGACTGGAAAGGCTGGCCCCGCCCAGGCAGGCAGTGTGGGCGAGAAACCATGGGACGTGCTGTCCGCTCGCATCTCAGACCCAACAGCAGCCCACGCGGGGCAGCGGGGACCCTCCCAGGGGTGTGCGGTGGCACCTGCACTCCTCCATCCCTCCCCCGGGTCTGCACAGTGCCTGCAGGAGCACCCCGGTGCCCCAGTATCTAGGCTGTCAGAGTGGCCCCAGCTGAGGCTGCTCTAGGCTGGGACGCCCGTGGGATTCCACGTGGGTTCCCTGTCGGGAGCAGCGTCTCTGTGCAACCTCCACGCAGCTGTCTCCGTGAGGCCTGGGACCTGCCTGGGTCGCTTCTCTCGTAGCCGAGATCATAAAAGCTCATCTCAGTGAGTGCAGCCTTTGGGGGGGCTTCTCTTGTGCCGTTTCCTGCCGTCCGGGGGCTTCTCCCGGCTGTTAGCCGTCCCTGGCAGGGCAAGCTGCCCTGAACCCTCTCCTTGCCCACTGTGGTGTTTCCTGTCACTTCCCTGGGGAATCCTGGCATTCTCTCCTAGAGGATCTGTTCAAACTGTGGGATCTATGTACCATTCTGGTTCCTCTCCATGGAGGCGCATGCTGCCTTGTGTCTGGTTGGCCATGTTGGTCCTGTAGAGCCTCTCTGTTCTAGACCATTTTAAACTGCTTGTGTGGCCCGGGGGCTGCCTTTCTTCTGGACAGCGCTGGCGTAGGGAGTTGATCCCAGCTGTGCAAATCATCCTTACGTGCTTTTTGTCTGAAATTTGTTCACAGGAGACAAACACCTTCCCTCCCCGCTCCACCCCCACAATGAAGGCTAAAGGCCAAACCCAGCGAGCAGAGGGAACTAAGAAGTCTGACAGTTGGAATTTTCTGTGTATTTCCTCCTTTGGCTCAAATAATCGGTTTGCACTCTCCTCTCCGGGGTTCCTAAGAAGCAGGACTGCCACCCACCAGTGTGTCTGCACTTCCAGAGCCTGCCGAGTTCTGTCCCTGCAGCTCTGTTAGGGACTATCTGCTCTGTTGGCATTTTCACAGGCTTGCCCTGGTAAACAAGGCGCTCGGTCCGCTACGTTAAAAGCTTATTACTCACAACAAAAGTGGAAACAAAAGGAAAAAAAACAGAAAGAGTCCTTCAGCAAGTGATTTCTCTTTTGCTTTTCTCTCCTAATCTAGTCTTTTTTTGTGGTCAACAACAACAACAACACACACACACACACACACACAAAGAAGAAACATGTGAAACTCATGCTTTCAGTAACAGTCTAAACACTGATTTTTTTTTTTTTTTTGCTTCTGCATCAAAATGCATTGCCCGTCAAAACTTGGGCCCCAATCAATAAATACTAAAGTCCAGTTCCAGAGAAATCTATGGCTGCTAATTGAAATCACGTTCATCACGCCAAAATGTAAAGGATTTACCTCTTGATTCTGCTACTCGTTGCTGATGCTTATTTTCTCTTGCTTTATTTTAAAGCCGTACCTTCCTGGCCCTCAGCGGTTTTGTGGCCCCTGAGCCATCTGGTTCCCCCAAACACGCACACGCACACAGAGGGCAGAGTCTCAGGGCTCAGGCGGGGACTGGCTCTGGGGGTTCACTGGACACTCTCTGGGGGGCACACTCAGGGCACACGGGGGCCTGGAGGGAGAGGGTCGCGGCCAGGCACACAGTTTGAGTCAGGGAAGAGCAAGCTCCGCTCCTGATTCACGGATGACCTTGGACTAGAGGCTCAACTCCAGAACTGTGTCCCTTTGCCCTACAGCAGGAGAACCGGCCTCGAGCACCCACGGGGTCCTGCAAGGTTGGGCGCTTGCTTCCGTCCTTTCTTCTTCCTCATTCAGTCCACAAACACACAAGCACTGCGGTCCAGGCACCGTGATCATCGTTGAGACACTCAGATACTGATTACGAGCGGGGGACACCGTGCAGAAGGAAAGACAGACCCGCAGCAGACAGCCCTGGCACAGTGCCGAGGGGCGACAACACAGCTTGAAGGAAGAAAAGAGGAGGCACGAGCCGGGTGAAGAAGGGAGGAAAACACCCTTGGTCCGGGCTGGTCACCTTGGATCTCAGAGCTTTGCACAGGGTCTGCAGAGCAAGTCCCGTAAAGGTGGTAAATGATGCGCAGGAAGGAAACAGCCTGCCCGTCCAGGGAGAGGCCAAGCGTGTCGCTGGGGGGTTGTGGGTGGTGCATGGGGGGTGGGCAGAGGTAAGAGAGAAGCGGGCAGGAGTCTCTCCAGCTGAGGGTGTGAACTTTATTCTAAACACTCTTCAATGATTCAACGTGAGGCACTCAGAATGGCACCTGCGAAGTATCTGCATTGTTTCTTCTAAGTGTTTGCTAAAATTCACCAGTAAAGCCCTCTGGGTAAATTTATTTATTTACTTTTTTCACTTTATTGCCCAGGCTAGAGTGCCATTGTGTCAGCCTAGCTCACAGCAACCTCAAACTCCTGGGCTCAAGCAATCCTCCTGCCTCAGCCTCCCGAGTAGCTGGGACTACAGGCATGCACCACTATGCCCAGCTAATTTTTTTCTGTATATTTTTAGTTGGCCAATTAATTTTTCTATTTTTTAGTAGAGACGGGGTCTCACTCTTGCTCAGGCTAGCCTCAAACTCCTGACCTTGAGCCATCAGCCCGCCTCGGCCTCCCAGAGTGCTAGGATTACAGGCAGGAGCCACCGTGCCCGGCCAGGAATGTAGTTCTTAATTTCAAAGTGAGTGGGGATATTCTAGTTATCTTTATGCTACTGATTTCTCTTTTAATTGTACCATAGTCAAAGAACATATTCTATATGGTTTCAACTTTGTTAGATACTTTAGAAATTTGTTGAGGCTTATTTTATGGACCAGTATAATGTTTACTTTTGGAAATGTTTCTGTGTATACTTAAAAAGAATATGTGTTCTGTAATTACCTGGTACAGAGTTCTGTATATGTCGGTCATGGCAAGTTTGTTAATCATTGCAATGGCTCATTTAATATGTCAACTTGGCTGGGTCGTGGTGCCCAGATATTTGGTCAAACATTATTCCAGGCATTTCTGTGAGGGTGTTTTGGATGAGAATAACATTTAATTCGGAGGACTGTGAATAGAACAGACTGCCCTTTATAAGGTGGGTGTCCTCACAATCAATTGAAGGCCTACATAGAATAAAAGGCTGACCGCCCCCAAGCAGGAGGGAGTTCTACCAGTAGCCTGCAATGCCATCTCTTCTCGGGGTCTCCAGCACACCCTACAAACTTTGGGATTGCCAGGCTCCATAATTACATGAGCCAGTTCCTTAAATCAATTCTCCCCTTAATCTATCTACCTATCTATATTGGTTGAGTACTCCCTATCCAAATAGGGCTTGGGACCAGAAGCATTGCAGATTTTTTTTCAGATTTTGGTAAATTTGCATGACACTTACTAGATGGGCATCCCTAAACAAAAATCTGAAATTTGAAATGCTCCAATGAGCATTTCTTTTGAGGGTCACGTTGAGGCTCAAAAATAAGTTTCAGATTTTGAAACATTTCAGATTTGGGGTTAGGGAAGCTCAACCTGTATATGTACACACACACACACACACACACAGCAGAACAGCAAACAGAAACAGGTTCTGTTTCTCTGGAGAATCCTAATAAAATTGTGTTGTTCAATCTACCCTACCCTGCTATTTTGTCTGTTTGTTGTATCAGTTATTGAAAGAAATATGTTAAAAATATCCTACTTGATTTGAATTTGTCTATTTTTCTTTGCATTTCTATTGATTTTTGCTTTATATATTTTATTAGGTGCATACAGAGTTGTCAAGTCTTCTTGACAGGCTGAATCTTTTTGTCATTATGACGTGTGCCTTTTTGTTTATGACAATTCTATTTGCCTTAATGTCTTTTTTGTCTGACATTATTAATAATATACCTATACCAGCTTTCTTTTGGTTGCGGTTTGCTGGTATACCTTTTATCATCCTTTTACTTTCAGATTTTCTATATTGTCTTCTTTTATATGTGACTCTCGAAAGCAACATATAACTGGATCTTGTTCCCTTATCCAGGTTGACTTTTTGCTTTTAACTGGGTCTAGTCTATTTATATTTAATGTAATTACCAATATATTTGAGTTTAAATACAGAGTCTCGCTTTGTTGCCCAGGCTAGAGTGAGTGCCATGGCGTCAGCCTAGCTCACAGCAACCTCAATCTCCTGGGCTCAAGTGATACTCCTGCCTCAGCCTCCCATGTAGCTGGGACTACAGGCATGAGTCACCACACCGGGCTTATTTTTTTGTTTGTTTCTCTTTTTAGTTGACTGGCTATTTTTTTTTTCTATTTTTAGTAGAGACGGAGTCTCGCAACTCCTGACCTCAAGCAATCATCCCAATTTGGCCTCCCAGGGTGTTAGGATTACAGGCATGAGCCGCTGCACCTGGCCCATCTTACTATTTTGTAATTGTCCCATCTTTTATGTCCTTTTTTTCTCTCCTTTGTTTTCTATTAAATGAATATTTTATTATCCCAGCTTCTCCCAATTAGCTTCTGAGTGATACCATTTTTTCTATTCTTTTAGTGATTACTATAGCTTACAACATGCACCCGTGACTTATTAAAGCCTATTATAATTTCGTGTGTTTGCCTCCTTCCAGGCAATACAAGGCTGTTAGGACAATTTAGTTCCATTGGCCGCTCTCGAATTCCATGATTTTGTGGCATAAGATTTACCTACAAACTTTCCGTTTTCATTCCTTTCTGCATCTCTGAGCTTCTCTCTCCCTGAATAATACTTTGTTTTCTTTAGTATTTGCTGCTGAGAGAATATCTCAGTTTTTATATATCTGAAAATGTCTTTATTGCACCATCCTTCTTGAAGAATATCTTCACTGGTATTAAAGTCTAGATTGGCATTTATTTTCTCTCAGCCCTCTAAATATAACATCCTGTTGTCTTCTGATTTTTATTGTTTCTGTTGAGAAATTCACCGTTGTTAGGTCTCTAGGGGAAACCTTCGGTGTCAGGCATTTTTCTTACGATACACCGGATGGGGGTTTCTTCCCGCTGGACAGTGATAGAGTTTCTCGATGCTTTGGCTTGATGTGTTTCACCAGTTTTGGAAAGTTCAGAAACATTGTCCCTTCAAACGTTGTTCCCGCTCTTGTCCCTTGTTCTAGGACCCTAATTACATACATATGTCAGATCTTCTCAGAGCACCTCCAAGTCCCTAACCCTTCCTTTTGTGTGTGTGTGTGTGTGTACGTGTATGTGCATGTATGTGCATACATGTGTATGCGTATTCCATTCTTCTGACTCTTCATCCTTTATTCGGGGTGTTACCTTCTGACCTCTATCAGCTCAGCAGTTCTCTCCTTACCGATGTTCATTCTGCTGTTAAACCCTTCCATTGCATTTTTAATTTGGGTTATTATATTTTCCAGATATAGTATTTCAATTTGCTTCTTTTTATATAGTTTCTGGTGATCTGCCACAGCACTCCTTCATTTTTTTTTTTTTTTTTTTTTGAGACAGAGTCTCGCTTTGTTGCCCAGGCTAGAGTGAGTGCCGTGGCGTCAGCCTAGCTCACAGCAACCTCAAACTCCTGGGCTCGAGTGATCCTTCTGCCTCAGCCTCCCGGGTAGCTGGGACTACAGGCATGCACCACCATGCCCGGCTAATTTTTTTTTTATATATATATCAGTTGGCCAATTAATTTCTTTCTATTTATAGTAGAGACGGGGTCTCGCTCTTGCTCAGGCTGGTTTTGAACTCCTGACCTTGAGCAATCCGCCCGCCTCGGCCTCCCAAGAGCTAGGATTACAGGCGTGAGCCACAGCGCCCGGCCAGCACTCCTTCATTTTTAAAAAAAAATGTTTTTAAACATATTCAAAACATGGTTATTTTTAAATGCTGTGTCTGATTACTCCATGAGCTATTAATGGAACGCTCATGAGCCTATTTCTACTGTTTATTTTTTCTCTTGGGTTTTGATCACATGGCCTTATTTCTTTGTGTGCGCTATTATTTTTGGTTGAGTGTCAGACTCAATCATTATATATGTAAACTTGTATAAGTAATTTGAGGGTTAAAATGATGTATTACTCCCTAGAGAATTTACTTTTGCTTCCAGTAGACACCTACAGCCTCCAGAAATCCCAGATCGCTTTAACCCAATTATAGGGATTAAGATTATCTGAAGCTGTTATAAGGATTCGGAGCAGGAGACGAATTGAAAATCTCCTCCGGTCTGCGCTAAGTCCTGGAGATCAGAGCAAACCCCACGGTCCGAGGCCCAGTGGACCCAACGCGCACAGCCCCAGACAGACGTGTCCCACATCGAGCACCGTTCTGGAGAAACCGTGCTGTTTACTTGGCTGCCC